TCTTCTAACCTCTGAAGGCACCATCCGCGTTAGCTGGCCAAAGCCACCGCTCCCACGCCACGTTAAGGCCGCGGATAAGATGTGGCAGATCTAGGCAAGGGACTGGGACACTGAAACCTCTGGACTCCATGTAACCACCCTTAATCGCGCTAACCGCGAGAGCAGGCGGTCCTCCCTAGAGTGCTCAACTGCTTTTCGATATCTCCTGTATTACCTCGAATGGATATGAATTCGACAATTGTTGTCCCTGAATCCATCTCTTAGCCTTCAAAGCTCCTCAGTGGGTATCCTAATGATCCTGTGAGACTTACGTAATTTCCATCAATGACAAAATCGAAGAAAGATACCGGTCTGGGACGAATTAACCCGCGCCTTGTTTCAAATTAAACAACAGCTGCAAAAGGATAACGCGTACTCCTCATTTTCCTCTTTTTCAGACCTGAGACTGCTGCTGCTATTCAACAGTGTAAAGGCGCTGGGATCAAGGTAAACACAAGTTTTGCAAATTTTCCCGTCCTCTCCTAGGGACGATTAATTACCGAATACTTTAGGTGTTCATGATTACCGGAGATCATCCAACAACCGCCAAAGCCGTAGCGACGCAGATCGGTTTAATCGGAGACGCGAAAGGAGAAGTGAGTTTTCTAAAGTCGTTTGAGTTTCGAATTTTTTTTGAGTGATTTCGAAAACAATCGCTAGATTTTTTGTTGCTTTTCCCAACTTCTCATTGTGCATTCTTGCGAATTTTTCATTGGTTAATTTTGTCAGCAAATATTCACAACGAGTTCCTTTCCTGACGACAACAGTCCGGCCGCAGTACCGCTGCTACCGTATTCCTTCTGTATTTCTGTGCATGACCACAAGCAGCTGTCACCTATCATATTTATCAAACTACAGAGGATTTTATTTTAAAGCGCTGTGTCCTCAGTCATTTCCACTGTGCTCGTGTAGATCGAGTTACCGTACTCCGGACGGTCGACAACCTGAATCAGGGCTTGATCGGCACGGTGGAGTAATCGATAATCGACCAACCACCAACCGTATAGTTTCCCAGCGTCTCTTCGAAATAGATCTTGTAGTAGGTATAATCGTAGAAATAACATTCGACGAGGTATGCAACCACCACTATATAGCAAAGTAGCTGTAAATACGAAAGAATTGTATTTAAATAACGGGTTGAGGAACTGGGTCCGCCCTCACCTCGGCACAATGCCAAGCATTAGGATAAAGTGGCGAAAACGATCTGGCCGTTCCGAATTCCCATTTTGTGTCCCAGTCTTGCCGAATAAGGAATAGTGTGATGGCGCATAAAGTCCACAATATAACCTGTGCCACATTTTCGACGAAACTCCGACACTGGAAGAGCTCCAATATCACAGTGGGCGGAGAGTCTATATTTGGGCGTGGCTTACCCTTCTTGGTCGTGAGAGGTTCGTGAACGCATGGAACACACTGGCGGACACGCCGAGCATACTTATAATCATACAAGCGATCGGGATACGAAGAGCGACTGCGTGAGACAAGTCTAGGTCCCCGAAGCCAAGCATGTCGGCGGCGCCAAGCTGAAACAATAGTTTAGCGGTAAACATGACGTACCTTCCTCAAGAACTGATAGTCCTCAAAAACTTACAGGTATGCAGTTGTGCACCGTGTTCTTAAGCCGGTATTTCTCCTTTTTCTCTGGAATCGCACCACCGGCTCCTGGTGCTGAACTTAACGTGCCATTGACTTCATCCTCAAACACTTCTTCAAGAATAATCCGAGAGGAGTTGTCACTGTTGTCGACAGGGACAGCCGTGCTCCCACTGTGCTTGCCCTCGGCAGGAATATTTACAGTGCTACCTTTTTCCTTGCTCTCGCTCTTTTCGGTAATAACGGTTGACGGCTCGACCTTTTCCGTGCTCACCTCAGTACTGCGAACAGTGCTGGGTGCACCACGGTCGTAGG